GGTTTTTCCTATCTCTGAAGAAGACGCTGTGGACTTCAGCCATGAGTGGTTTGTGGCTGCAGGGGTGGGTCGGGGCTTCTGACCCTCGGGACATAAGGGCTTCAGGTGGGAGGCTCAGGGCTCTCCATGGCTCTGGTCCTGGTTTCAGCTGGGGGGGGTGGGGGCACACTGGGGCTCAGGACTTCAGCTACAGGGGAAGTGTTGATCCTGAAGCTCGCGCTTCCCCGCGCCCACATAGCTAAAGCCCCGAGCCCCCACGGGGCCGAAGTCCGGAGCCCCACAGGCCACCTGCTGGGCCCTGGAGTTTTTATAGTGTGTCGTGGGGGGGCCTCGGAAAGACAAAGATTGAGATCCCTGCAGTACAAGATTTGTGTGGGGTTGTTTTGTTTTGTTTTCCCACCTCTGCTGCTGCCTGATTGGTTACTTCCAGTTCCACATGGTGTCTGGCTGACGAACAGTCTGATGCTCCTATCTTTGAGGTTCCAGGGTAGCGCATTAATGACGCGGACCATCGCGGATGGGTTTATAGCAGGGAGCCCTTGTGCTTCGTGATTCCGTGGTCGCGGGTTGTGCTGTGGGATCCACCCCGTGCCAAGAACTGTTCTCCACCTCCCCAGGCCTGATCTACCCCCAAGCTTGGACGGAGCTAGCAGAGAGGGTGTTTGAGCCCAGCCTGCGCTGGGGAGCAGCTCCCTTCCCCGAACTGGAGCGAAGGGCCAAATCACACCGGCCGGAGCATCCTCGCAGTGCAAGCCCCTTGGCTTCGAAGCTGATTGAGTCGAGCAGGTGCCGTGGTGGTGCGGGGCCAAGGCCCGAGTGTGATGGAGCGGGACTGTTCTTAATGTTTCCTCTGAATAGTGTGGGGGTGCCTCAGTTTCCCCTATGCAGTTCTTAAGTATCTATGGGGTGGGGTAAGGGTGTATGATCATTGCAGAGCCCTAGAGGGCAGGTGTGTGCAGGGGTCTGGACACAGAGAATGGCCGACACCCTGTTTTCTGGCAACTGATGGGCTGGGCCCTTCCCCCCTGCAAGGTGAGAGCTAAAGGGTTGGAGAACAAAGGAATCAGGTGACCTCCTGGCCCGGGAAAGGGACAAAGCCCAGAGGAGGAGGGGCTGGAGAGAGTTTCAGTTTGGGTCTGGCTGGGGACATGGAGTGAAGTGCAGACGTGGTTGTCTGGCTCACTGCCCCCCAAAATGGACCCGGCTGAGGGGTCCTATTCTCTGCACCTACAAGCTCTGTGTTAGACCGTGTTCCTGTCGTCTAATAAATCTTCTGTTTTACTGGCTGGCTGAGAGTCACGTCTGACTGCGGAGTTGGGGTGCAGGACCCTCTGGCTTCCCCAAGACCCCGCCTGGGCAGGCTCACTGTGGGAAGCACACGGAGGGGCAGAGGATGCTGAATGCTCCGAGGTCAGACCCAGGAAGGTGAAAGCTGTGTGAGCTGTGTGCCCTGGAGACAGGCTGCTCCCAGAGAGGAGACTTCCCCAGAGTCCTGCCTGGCTTCATGGGGAGCAGTTCCAGAGCATCGCCCGGGGACTCTGTGACACCGAGTGCCTGTCCTGGAGGCAGTTCCAGGGCGGCGCCTGCAGGGAGGCTGGGGCTGGACAGTCGCTGAGCACGGTCTCCTCAGAACTTTAACGGAGGGTCCATCGGCCCCACATCACCCAGCGAGGCCGTCTCCTCTACCCCTCGTTGCTGGAGCCAGTGATGGGGATTGGGGTAGATCGGTGCTGGGGAGCGGGAGTGGTGAAATCAAGTCCCCTCCCAAAAATGCAGCTTCCTTTGCCCCGGCCCAAGGAGAGGAGGGGAGAACAGAGATGCGCCCCTCCCTCGCCAGGCGGAAAAGCCTCCCGTGCCCTTTGTGTGCCAAAAACTCACGCAGCCTCCCGTACCTCCGGGTGCCAAGCCCCGTCTGTCTTGAGCCCCAGCTTCCTCCCTGATCGTGGCCACCGCACAGTGATGCGGAGCTGGCTCCAATGCCTGCAGGGCCTGGAAACCTTGGGGGCAGCTGGGAACAACCTGAGTTGCTGAGCTGACACAGGTGCTATGGGCCGGGTTGGCTTTGTCTCTTCCTGACTGGTGCAGGCTGGCAGCGTGGCCTTGTGACTGTGCTGTGACCCAGGAGACCTGCATTCTATTCCTACCTCTGTACTGGCCCGCTGGGTGACCTTGGGTGAGTCATGTCCCCGTGACTCAGTTTCCCCACCTGTGCAGTAGGGATAATGACACTGACCTCCTTTCTATCGTGCTCCTGAGCTCTGCGGATGAGAAGCACTAGATACGAGCTAGGGATTATGATTCATTTCAGTGGAAAGACCTGTCTGATCGATTCCCCTCGATCTGCGCCGTTTGAAATCAGGTAGCGGTCTAACCACGGCAAGCCATTGCAGGCTGCTCTCCCCAGGCCAGACTGCTCGGCCAGCAGTAGCTGCAAGGCTCTTGCTGTGTTTCCGAGCTTCATTAATGGGAATACAATGTAAAGACAATTATAAGAAAGTTACGGGCAGTAAAATGAAGCCAGAGCTGTGATGGGCACCAGCCTGGCTGAGGTGCGTGAGAGTGTTTAAAGTTTACCAGACTAAATAACCCTTTGATTCATCCAGAGCAACACCCAGGAGATTAATAAGACTGGGACTGTTCAGCTTGGAAAAGAGATGACTAAGGGGGGATATGATAGAGGTCTATAACATCATGACTGGTGTGGAGAAAGTGAATAGGGAAGTGTTATTTACATCTTCTCATAACACAAGAACCAGGGGTCACCCAATGAAATGAATAGGCAGCAGGTTTAAAAGCAACAAGAGGAAGTATTTCTTCACACAATGCACAGTCAACCTGTGGAACCCCTTGCCAGAGGATGTTGTGAAGGCCAAGACCATAACAGGGTTCAAAAAAGAACTAGATAAGTTCATGGAGGACAGGTCCATCAATGTCCCTAGCCTCTGTTTGCCAGAAGCTGGGAATGGACCACAGGGGATGGATCACTTAATGATGACCTGTTCTGTTCATTCCCTCTGGAGCATCTGGCATTGGCCACTGTTGGTAGACAGGCTACTGGGCTGGATGGACCTTTGGTCTGACCCAGTGCGGCTGTTCGTACATGCTGCAGTACCTCACTAGCCACGTGCCATTGCTTTTCTCTCTTCTGGCAGCTAGTCAGAGCTCCTGCAGTGATGAACTCTCTGTGCTGTGCTGCCTTATCTCTCATCTGGCACAAAGGGCACAGACTCCTCTTTGCCCAGGACTGAGCCACCTAATAACTAGCTACTATCTCAGCTTTCACATTACATGGAACAAGTTTCAACATCTCAGCTCAGGGACTCCGATCAGTCCCTTGGGATCAATCCTTGCTGCTGTTGGGCCGGATGTGAAACTTGTTGTTTGCCTACAAGAAAATGCCCCGTTACGTGGTTGAAGCCATTGAGCCCGGCGCACGTTTTTGTAGCCCAGGGGCCCTGTCTGAGTAGTTTAAATTGACCAAGTTGTCCCCGTGACAATCTAGACACGTGCAAATGTTTCTGGTTCAGAGTGGTGGTGGATGTGAGTTTGCCAGCTCTCGGTCCGACAGGCTATGAGAACTCGGTGTCATGACTACAGCTTTTTCTAGTAACCAATGGACCGAAGCAGCAAGGCCATTAAAGAACATGGTTGTTTTCAAACAGGTTGTTACCAGTAGGGGGGGATCCCCAGTGGCCAGTCAGGCTCCCGAGCTATCTATCTGTCCAGATGTCCTGTGGCCTAGGGGAAGAAAGCAAGTCCCAGTGTGTCTGGTGCTGAGGGGTGCACCCTGCTTGTTCCGTCTCCTCCCAGACAAGGTCCTTGGGGTAGTAGCAGATTCCACTTCGCATATTGCCTGTTTCTGGGATTTCCTCTTTGGACTCTCTCTCTCACCAGTCAAAAGGCCCCATCCCAAGTTCCCTGGAACTCACTCCCTTCGTTCTGGGCCAAGGCCAGATCACACAGCATCAGCGACTCTAGGTCATCTGAATCAGTTGTGTATTTGTACGTTTTTGCTCTTACGCTGCCTTGCCGCTGCCTAGAAGACGTGCCCAGCTGCACCCGGCCATGTAACGCATTCAAACGAGGCTTGTGCCCGGACCCACCGCGGGCAGGGTTCTCCTGGCTCTAACCAGCAGCACAGATCTCTGCTGTATGATCAGAGATTGTCCTGCCCGTGGTGCAGGACTGATCCAAACGGCACCTGTGCAGATGTTGCACTGGAAATCCGTGGGGCAGAGGTCCCCAAACTGTGGGGCATGGTCCCCGAGAAGGGCACAGAGCAACATCCTTGGGTGTGGTCGGGGAGGGAGTGCCATCCAGCCCCTCCCTGCCCCCAGCTCTGCTCCGGTCCTTCCCCCAGCCATGTCCCTGGCACCCAACCCTGCGCCTGTCCCTGTCCCCAGCCTACGTGCGGCTACGCTCCTGGCTGACCTCTGCCCCCAGCACTGGCTGCGGCTCCATTCCTAAGCCCCAGCCTTGCCCCCCCTTACCCTTGTTGATGCCCCCCGCCCCCCACAGCTGCAGCTCTGGCAGGGCGCGGACAGAGATAAGGAGGGGCACGACTTCCAAGCGTTTGGGGATCTCTGCCATAGGGCATCAGAGGGGGGTATTTCGCCCTTGGCACAGACATTAGGAGAGCTGGCAAAGCACCAGGTACAAGCTCTGGTGATGAGGCATGCGCAGAGCATGACAGCAGGAGCTGGCTTCCAGCCGTCCAAGACAGCATGTATGTGTCTTAGCACGCTGAGACCTGCCTAAGCCGCCACCTGAGGGACGAGCAAAAATGGTTTGATCAGTAGAAATAGATCAAACAAATTGATCCCAGCGACGTACAAAGCCCCTGAAATGCAGCCAGCTGTAGGTGGAGGGTGAGCCCCCAGCAGAGCTTGCCAGGGCTCTGTTTATTAGCCAACGGCTGAGGTGTGCTACCCCAGCTCGGCGCGCTGGCCTCTTGGCTAACGTTGGTTCCATTTGGTTTTACCTCCCGTCTCCTGTTACAGAGCCCAGCTTCAGAGGCAGACGGGGCAGACGGAGGATAATACTAGCGTTGCCCCCACACACAGCCTCGGGGATCCGCAGCCTCCAGCCCTTCACCCTAGACCCCACGTGCAGTGGGGCTGGGTCGTTCCTTCCTCCTGGCACCTTGCAATGGGAACACGTTGGCAGCAGCTTTTCGCCCAGTTGCAGCAAACACGCACGGCACCCTAGAGAGGAGGGGAGAGCCCCTCACCCAGGGAAGGAATCGGCCTCCCTGGCCTGCAGGGAGCCTGCAGGTCCTTCCTCGGCAGCAGTGTACTGGGGCACCCCCTGGTCTCTCTCCCATGAATCGCTGCTCCCGGCACGCGGGAGGCTGTTCCCGCTGACACAGCCATTGTCATGTAGGCCGGATCGTCCATCTGCTCGCTGCCCAGACACACGCCATCAGCATGCAGTGGGGCTACGCACCCTTCCTCTGTGAGTACAACGGGGCGCTCGCTCTCCTGTCACATGCAGGGCAGGGAAAGGGGTCGGACACGCCTATGGCCCTGTTCTGGTTCGGAGAGCACCGGACCAATACCCTCACAACAGCATGGGGCCAAGACCCTTTCCCCAGGCAGCCCCTGGCTGTGCCAGCCCATTCCTGTGCCTCCCATGGGCTGGCACGCTCTGACCTGCTGTGGACCCTGGGCTGCCCCAGAGAGGGCTCTATCTGGAAAGCCAGGGCGGGGATGGCCAGAGGGCCCACGCAGGGATGCAAGGGAGGCAGCAGAGCTGTTGCCAAGCCCAGCTCACAAGCTCCTTGTTGGGGCGGATCTGGATAACAGCCGCCCAGGGTCGAAGTCCCAGCCCTGGTCCATGCACTCAGTGGGTGGGACCCAATGCTCTGTTCAGGAACCCAGCCAGGCCCTTAGCATTGGACTGGGGGGAACGTTCTCCACTCTCCCCTTCGTTCAAATGACCCTGAGCCATGGTGGCCAGGTCTCTTGCCCTGTCCTCCCCTCCCCATGCTGCTGCTTCAAAACACTGACAGATTTCCCCCTTCTCCTTCCCCTCCTCTCCCGAGCCCTGCTCTGCAGCGTAAGCCTGTTCCTCCTGGCCCCCAGCATGTGATGGGAGCCAGTTGGGGCATGGCCTTACGCTTCTCGTTCACCCTCGGGTGGGGGGGGGCGGGACGGTGATTTTCAGATTTCGTGGCTGTCCTGGGGCTGGAGGCTGCAATGCAGAAGGAATGCAGGATTATCGAGGCTCTCCAGAACAAGCTGACATATCGGCAACGGCTCCAGTACATGGTAATTCTTTGCCTCTAGGCTCAGGCTATGTTACCGGTTGATTTGTGTCTCCCTTTCCAAAGGCCCAGACATGCGTCTCGGGCAATAGTGCAGCCTCTGCCTTTCTGCCCCTAGCGCACTGAATGCTGGGGGCCGTGGAATCAGAACCATCTCTTGTTTCATCCCCTTTTGGCTTCTCCGCGGCCAAGATTTTCCAAACTAGCAGCCTGACGCTAACCAGCTAACTGCCCATTTTGGATGCCAGCTAGGAGCCCTGGTTTTCTAAAGTGCTGAGCCCCCAGCAGTTCTTGTTGACATTTGCCCTGCCTAGCAAGGTCCCTCCTCGGGCTGCTGGTAGGTTAATTTCCAAGCCCTGATTTAGGTGCATGACCAGGTACCCAAGTGCAAACTATTTGGCTCATTTTCAAACATTGCAGAGGGGGCTGCAGCCCCCGGAGAGGGCAAACTGGTGCATACGTGCAACTCTGCCTTCTAACGGGCAGAGTCTTCTGCCCAGCTGTGTGTCACAGGCCCTAGACTACAGGTGACTCCTGACGATTCTCCTTTAGCTCAAGTGGTTGGGACTTGTGCTTTTGGAGCAGGAAGGTCCCCGTGGTGTACAGTGACAGTGTCACGGCATTAGGCAGCTGCACAACTGTTCTAGGTGTTACAACCCAGCTTAGTTTTCAGCATTTGTTTACCCACAAGGAAACATGCCCAAGCTGCCTGGCACGGTACATGCTTCCCCATCAACTCGGGGGAGGGGACAGGAGTGGTTGCTGATGGGGGCACAGCCCAGGAGGATCCGGGGAAGAGAGAAGCTTTTAGTTCGCCACTAGGATTTTATTTTTCTTGCCTTTGCAGAAACATTATTTCCCCATCAACTATACCGTGAATGTCCAGTTCGAAGAGGTTCTCAAGGCGGCCAACATTACCAGGCTGGTAAGGTGTCCGGTGCTCACTTTCCATCCTCGTGCTGTTTACCATCCCGGTGTCCCAGCTCACCTGGGAACAGCTCTGCTGTAAGCTCCATGGTCTTTCTACAGGCGTCCTGAACAGCTGCTCCCTTAGCTCAGCTGGCCGAGACCCCAGTTCTCGGCCTCAAGGGCCATGCGTTCTAGACCAACCATACTGGCCCATGGCTTTTTCAAAATCCGTCACTGCCTCTGGGCTGGAGGTGGTAACGCAAGTGTCAGGAAAATCTTTGACATCCCAGCAAGTGCCAAGAGTGGATGGCATCTGACACCTGCCCTGGGCATTGGGGCTTTTCATCCAGGACGCTTCAACAATCATCCCTTACTGTGCACTGAAGCCGTGGCTATACCTGGTTCCCCAAGCAGGAATTGAACAGTCCTATAGCAGCGTGAACTTCTAGGGTGGTGCTTGTTTCTCCCCAGTTTCCAGCTAGGGAGCAGCTGTGAAGGTTAAATGCTGGATCGATAGGTTCCTACTAAATACCAGAGTGGGAGGGATGCTTTGAGGAGGAATCAAACTTTACAGAGGCCGGGGGTGTTGGGATCTGAATTTTGCTCACACCCAGGGGGGTCAGGATCTGGGGGCAGCTGCCAAGTCTGGGTCTAGCTTTCCCCAGGGCTTAGGGATGATCTGATCACAGGAACGAGCTGGCAAGCAGGGCCACTGAATCCAAGTAGTGCAGAGATCAAGGCACGCACCAGCCCCAGGTGCTTGCTGAGCAGAAGCTCTTGGAGGCTGCAGTGGAAAAGGCAAAGCGGCCCGTGGGCGGGGGCTGGGTGTGGGCTGTGAGGTGCTCTCCAGAGGAGCTGCTGGGGCCCAGGGCAGCAGCCCCTTAGGAGGCTCCCCCAGAGGGCGGCCGTGCGTGACCCTTGTCCCCTCGTGCTCCCCAGCGGGATCAGAACGTCAGCGAGCTGTCCCTGCGTTACCTCTGGCTCAGTGTGAACTCCCAGGTGCTGCTGAAGATCTGGGCTGTGCTGCTGGAGAGGCACCCGTCCTGGGAGTACACCCAAGATCTCTGCCACCTCTTTGAGCAGCTGGCTGAGGAGTACGAGAACTACAACCAGGTGGGGAACCTCCTGGGACCCCAGCACCCCGCCCCCTTTTGGGTTCGATTCCTGTGTCTTGCACAGTGCTCAGCAAGTGACCGTCCGGGGGCCAAACGGGAGGGCGAAGTGAAGGGGGGAGCCAGGGCAGACCCCGGTGGCCAGCGCCAGTGTGGACGTGGGGTGACTCTTGCTGTGACAGGGCAGCATGGAAAGGGGCTGGCCTGCCCCAGCCCAGGTGTGGCTGTGTCCTCCTCCTGGCTTGGCTGGCGGGTTGGGGATGCCGTGGGCAATGGGGGAGCTGAGATGCTGTTTAGGGGCCAGACATACCCTGTGCACTTGGCACACACAGAGGCTGTACCCCAGGCTCCTGTGGCCCCCGTGCCAACCGCAGGGCGGGGCTCTGTACCTGCACGCGGGAGAGATGCAGAGACCCATGGGTTGCTGGGTGTGCATGTCCTGCCTGCTGGGCTGCATTGCCCCGCGTCTGGCCCACTGTGTCCCCATGTCCTGCACACCACACCAGCTACATATGCTGAGTGTGCACCTGGCTCCCTGCACCCCACACATGATCCGCTCTGCACGGCACACTGTGCTGTGGATATGGCAGCTGGCCCACATGAGCACCTCCCTCCCCCTCCGTGTGTTTGTCCGCTCTTCAGGGCAGGGGTTTTCTATTGCTCGTTTGTACAGCGCCTAGCGTGACAGGGCCCCGATCTCACCATTAATAACAACACACACACAATGCAGGAACATCTCAGGGGGCTGGTGGCCTCCCCAGAAAACGGGTGCAGGGCAGCTGGCGGGGAGGGAGCAGTGCTGTTGCGGAGGGGGAAGCCTTGAAATCAGTGATAAAGCAAGAGCCGCATGGGAGAAAGCCAGGCCTGAGGAGGGGCACCAGAGGGAGAAGGGACCCTGTAGCCACATGCTGCTCATTGCTGGGGTTTACCCATCCCTTGTGCCCTAACTAGGGTGACCGGATGTCCCGTTTTTATAGGGATAGTCCCTTTTTTTGGGGACTTTTTTTATATTGACGCCTATTACCCCCCCACCCCACCCCCTCTCCCATTTCTTCACAATTGCTCTCTGGTCACCCGAGCCCTAAGCCCAGCGGTAGAGTTATGGCCCAGGGCTAGCCTAACCATGAGCAAACTAAGGCGGCCGCAGGGAGAGAGAAGAGGAGCCTCTTATGTCCCTCTCTAGCCCCCCCAGGAGCCTGTACTGATTAACCCCAACTTCTCAGGGAGCTTCCTGTTTCCTGCTGCTTCCCTGAACCCACTTGAGGAGAACAGGCCGTCAACTGGAGTAGGAGGAGCCAGTTAGGCCCTAAGACGCTGATCTCTTCCCTCACTCAGGCCCTGCTACCAGCCTGCTTATTTCTCCCCTTCAACTGAGTGTTGAGAGCCACTCTAGCACAGAACAGCAGCCATGAGTGAAAGAAGAAAACGCCCCTCTGGGGCAGCATTCAGAAAAAGAAAGCAAAGGAAGCTTTTCTATCTAAGCAGGAAGGAACTCTCCTGAGATACATAGACACAAATGTTCACGGTGAGCCTTCCGGCCCCAGTGAGGATGTGAGTGGTGAGGAGATGCCTGATCTTCCAGTCAGTCAGAGTGCAGGTGACCTGGCAGCTGCTGCAGCATCCATATCTCCATCTCAAGTGGATGTAACCATGCACAGTCCTGAAGAAAAGTGTAGATCAGAGAAGAGTGTGGTGGAGACGCAAGAAACAGCTGCTGCTGAGTTTAGTTCTTTAAGTCTAGAGGATCCAGGACTGTGGACCCACTTGAGCAGTAGCCTGAGGGACTTCCTTGTACTGCATGGGCCACAGCAAGTGAAAAACTTCATGTTCCCCAAAGACAATGAAAATAGAAGTTTCCATCCAACACATTACTGTCGTGAAATCCCCAATGGTGACAAAGTGGAGAGGCCATGGCTTATGTACTCAAAACCCAGGATGCTACATACTGGTTTTGTTGCAAACTCTGCCAGTCTAATGTTCCAGCCACATTGGGTTCCACAGGAACAAAGGACTGGAAAAATATGGCTAGAAATCTGGCATGCCATAAGAAGGCAGCAAATCACCAGAGAGCATTCCACAGGTGGAAAGAGCTGGAGATGAGACTATGGTTAAAGGCCACCATGGATGATCAGCATCAAGAGAAGATTGCGTCAGAGTCTCTTTACTGGCAAAATTCTCTGAAAAGGCTCGTTGCCATTGTGAGAATGCTTGCGACCCAAAACCTAGCACTGCATGGCACTGCAGATCAGCTGTATGTGACAAACAATGGAAACTTCCTGAAAATTGTGGAGCTGGTGGCTCAGTTTGATGCTGTACTCCAGGAGCATCTAAGAAGAGTCACCACCCAAGTCGTGGCACACACACCACTACCTTGGAAAAACCATTCAAAATGAGACCATACAGTTACTGGCAACAAAAGTCAAACAGAAGATTGTGGCAGATCTGAAGTCAGCATGATATTACTCTGTTATTCTGGACGGCACACCTGACATCAGCCATACGGAACAAATGACTTTAATGGTGCGTTTTGTAACAACAACAGAACCTAGTGAAAATGTCCCTGCAACGGTGACTGTCAGAGCATTTTCTATAATTTATTGACATTGATGATGCTACCGGAGCGGGTATGACAAATGTGCTTCTTAAAAAGCTGGAAGATACAGGAATTGCGATAGCTGACATGGGAGGTCAGGGCTACGTTAATGGTGCCAACATGAGAGGAAAGAACAGAGGAGTGCAGACACGGATCCGAGAGTTAAACCCTCGAGCTTTTTTTGTCCCATGCAGTTCTCATTCATTGAACTTGGTGGCCAGTGATGCAGCATTAGCTTCCAGTGAGGCTGCTGAATTTTTTAATGTAATTCAAAGCATCTATGTATTTTTCTCTGCATCAACTCATCGATGGCAAATTTTGAAGCAACATCTGGGAACATCCTCTCTGACACTGAAACCACTGAGTGCCACACGATGGGAAAGTTAAGTGGAGGCGATAAAGCCTATCAAACACCGAATTGGGAATCTTGCCATAATTGCCATGATGGAGGACAATGGTATGACAGGAACTGTTCATGGGAGAACAGTGGCAGAGGGAAATGGAATCACCAGAAACATACATAACTTCACATTTCTGTGTGGCTTAGTGTTGTGGCATGACATACTGTTTGAAATAAATGTTGTAAGCAAGAGACTCCAAGGTGTTGATCTTGATACATCTGGAGCAATGGAACAACTGGACAAAGCAAAGTCATACCTACAGTCTTACCGGTCAGATGCGGGATTTCAAAACCTTCTGAAGAGTGCACAGAAGTTGGCAGAGGAACTTCGCACTGAAGCTATTTTCCCACCCATTCAAGAATACAAGAGTCACCGAAGAAGAAGACTTTTTGATTACGAGGCACGGGATAATCCCATAAGAGACCTCAAACAACTATTCAAAGTTGAATTCTTTAACCAGGTGCTAGATTGTGCAATACAGTCAGCTGAAGAACGTTTCATGCAGCTCAAGGAACACAGCAGTATATTTGGGATGTTGTAGGATATTCCAAAACTCCTCACTATACCTGAAGAAGACCTACAGCAGCAATGAAGACACATGACATGCGTGATATTGATGCGAGTGATTTAAGTGATGAACTGAAAGCCCTTTCAAGATGCATTTCAGCAGGATCAACTCCAAAGGATGTTCTGGAATATATGTGAAACCCACCCAGCAGGTTGCCTTCTGCAGCCTCTGTTCACGTTCCTGGGCAGAGGTGTTACCTCCACCCTCCCCCTCCTGGCTCAGGTTACAGGCTCTCAGGTCTCCCATCCCCAGGGCACATTCCCAGGTCAACACTCCCCCCTCCCTGCTGAGTCACATCGTCACATCTCTTCCCCTTTCGAGACTGAACTGAGCGGGGTCACTGTGACCAGTGACCTGGGGAAGTTCGGGGCCCCCTCTCCGGGACAGCACATCCGCTATCAGGTTGGCGCTTCCCTTTACATGGACCACGTCCATGTCGTAATCCTGCAGGAGCAGGCTCCACCTCAGGAGTTTGGCTTTCATCTGGTGCAGCCAGGTCAGGGGAGAGTGGTCGGTGTACACGGTGAAGTGTCGCCCGAAGAGATAGGGCTCTAGTTTCTTGAGGGCCCACACCATGGCCAGGCACTCCTCTTGATGGCTGCGTAGCGTTGCTCCCGTTGTAACAGCTTCTTGCTCAGGTACACGATGGGGTGTGTCTCCCCCTTTTTCATCCTCCTGCATTAACACTGCCCCCAGTCCCGTGTCTGAGGCGTCGGTGAACACCATAAAGGACTTGTCAAAGTCTGGGTTTGCCAGGACTGGGCCACTGACCAGAGCCTCCTTCAGCGCCCGGAAAGCCTCCTGGCACTGCTCGGTCCAGACCACCTTGTCTGGCTTCCCCTTCTTGCATAGCTCAGTGATGGGGGTGGCTATGGCGCTAAAGTGGGGCACAAATCTTCGGTAGTATCCTGCCATCCAAATAAAGGCTTGGACCTGCTTTTTGGTGTGGGGAGTGGGCCAGTCTCTGATCACATCCACCTTGGCTGGTTCCGGCTTTAGGCGGCCACTCCCCACCCGATGGCCCAGGTAAGATACTTCTGCCATCCCCACCTTGCACTTCTCAGCTTTTATGGTCAGCCCAGCCTCTGGAGTCGGTCCAGCACTTGTCTAACCTGGGACACATGGTCCTCCCAGGTCTGGCTAAAGACACAGATGTCATCAATATACGCCACGGCAAAACTCTCCACCCCCCTCAGGAGCTGGTCCACCAGGCGCTGGAAGGTGGCTGGTGCTCCCTTGAGGCCGAAAGGCAGGGTCAGGAACTCATAGAGCCCCAGAGGGGTGATAAAGGCCGATTTCAGCCGGGCATCTGCATCCAGCGGCACTTGCCAGTAGCCCTTTGTAAGGTCCATGGTGGTGAGGTACCGAGCTCCTCCCAGCTTGTCTAGGAGCTCGTCCGGCCTGGGCATGGGGTAGGCATCAGATACAGTGATGGCATT